ATCCTGTCTTGCCTCTTTATTCATTATTTTTATTTGTGGTTTAAGGTTTTCTGTGTGTGGATGGTTTAGTGGTTCAAGTCACAGTGCTTAATTTTGGTTTTAAAAGAAAACAACTATTGAAGTTGGGTCTTTGAATCCTGATTACACCTGTTAGTAAATAGGATACTTCTACATTCATTTTTCAGAGAAGGCACTATGACAATTTTAAAAAAAAGTTTTAGGGAGTTTAATCATCTGGACTAAAGGCACCCTTACTACTCTGAACACTATAAACGTTTAGTGGCTGCACATGGCAGCAGACCACCTAATCTGAATTTCAGATAAAAGCTGCCCACTTAACTCCAGACTATTCTGAATTGCACTTTCTCGGTATTTCCCATTCCACAGATTAGTCTCTGTCTGATCTCTGGCCTCAACTTCCTCTGATACTCTTATTTATAAAAGTGATGATTCTAGGGACACAGACCAGAGCAACTGAGACAACCCCTGGTATAAACTGGGAGTGTGAACTATTTATTTATTTATTTATTTATTTATTTATTTGTGTGCACTCTCTAGAGACAGACAGGCAGAGGGAAAGTCAGAAATCACTCTCCGGGGTGATGGCCACACCACAATCCCTTCTCCTCCATTCTCCTCTTGAGATTTTAGGCACACACACGCCTGGCATGATTTTCAAGCTGCTGGGTATAGGTCGTGAATCATGGTTGGCCACATGGGAGTCCAGCACATTAACCAGCACACCACTGCCAGCCCCATAAGGTTTTTTTTAGCAAGCTTCCTCCTATCTAAGTCTTTTGTACTCCAAGGCAGATGAGAATTAGTACCCAAAATCTGACTCATAACATGAGGAAAAGTATTCAATTGCAAATAATCTTTCACAATAGGCTTCTTATTGCCATTTTAAAAAATTAACCATATGAATAGTTTGTACGTTCATAAGTGAAGTTTGTCTTCATTATGTTCTTATCCCTAGACTAAAATGCTGTTAGATCCAAAGGTAAGTCAGAATGATGCAGCCAATGCTGGCTATCTTAGATGGAAATATCAAATTATCTTAAATTAGTTCCAACAGTTCTATTTCAAAAAAAAAAAAAAAGAATAGTTCTATGAAGACTTCCGTATATGTTACATCATTTAAAAAACAAAACTCTGGCCAGTCTGTGGGATGATGGTATTAGTGGCTGGATCCCAAATGGCCCCAGAGGCTTGAGAAACATGCTGCACATATGTGCATGTGTGCTCAAAATCCTGAAAGGAGGGAGATGGAGAAAGGATAGCAGCATGACCATTCCCCACGGGAGGTGCTTTGTCATTTTTTTTTCCCTTTATTTATTCATTTATTTTTTATTTTAATTTGACTAAAGAGCAACAGAGTGAGAGAGCGATAGAGGGAAAGTGGGAACATAAGCCACCAGATCAGGGACTCAAACTATGGTTGGCCATGTGGGAGTCCAGCGCCCTTAACCACCACGCCACCTGCCAGCCCCAGTGCTTTGTCACTTTCAATCTTTCCTTGGCTCTCCTGGAAGCACATGTACCTTCTGGAAAAAAAAAAATTTTTAAAGCCCTAGGGAGAAATAAAGCTATTTATGTTTTATTGCTTTTGCCTGAAATCAACCCACTTAATTTCTGTATAACTCAGATGCACATCCCCATTCGTCCACAGTCCCCCTATCCAAGGCACCATTTTTGCAAGCAGGTAGAACATGGTATAAGAGTTGCTAAAAACCTTGCAAGGCAGTGTGCGTGCATGTGTGTGTGTGTGTGTGTGTGTGTGTGTGTGTTTGCCTCAAGCATTTTACTCTATGTGAGTAAGAGAAAAGAAAAAGAACAAGTAAAGTAGAAAAAAATGTTCACAGGCAATTTTACCAAGTATAAAGTAGATGTGAAAACATAAACCTCCATAGAACAAACACATTTCTTAGTATATTGCTAAAATAAAGTAAAATTCTAAAGATCTTTTATCACTACACAATAGTTCATCCAATCTATAAACCAATCTAGAAAAATTTTTCAGTGAAAGAATCAAAACTATGATTCTATTATTTTTATTATACAAAGGTAATTGGAAGTTTTTGTTTTTGTTTTTGTTTTTAACTTAGCAACATTTAACTTCTCCTGAGTTATTTTAATAGAAAGTTTTGGAAGCCTTCTTTTATACACTAACAGGAATGTCCTTTGTATATTGTTACAAATGTGCAAAGTAACAAGGCCTGCATGGAAAGGCCTACCAGGAACAGCCAAACAGCAAAGGCCAAGCAAGACATTATTTTCAACCTGGTTATTTCACCCTAGGACAGTTTATAGCCAACAATGAGAATGTATCTTCTACTGAAAAAGTTGACATAAAACCATCAATTTATTCTTTTCCTTTTTAAAGAATTATTTATTTATTACTATTATTATATTTTTAATTCACCAGAGACAGAGAAAGTGAGAAAGCAAGCTGTCAGGTCTGGTACTCTAACCATGGTCAGCCATATGGGAGTCTAACACCTTAACTACCATTCCACTTGCTGGCCCCCATCAATTTATTCTTAAAAGAGAAAAAAAACAAAGGAAACTCACAAGAATGTCACTGAGATAACTTTATGAACCCTTTCCAGAGCAGAATAAATACAAATCCCCAAAAATGGCTTCCTCAGGTAATTAAACTAAAGTCAATCCTTTATAAGACCAAAACAACAACTAAAACCTAAGATAAAACTAAATCATCCATTATCATTATTTTAAAAAATCAAATACTTTAGTATTAGAATGAATTTCAGGGACAGGCAGATGGCATAATGGTTACATTACTGGACTCCCACATAGTTCAAATTTTGGACCTGGCAGCTTAAAACTCACACCGGGTACATGTGCATGCATGCCCAAAATCCCAAAAGGAGAATTTAGGAAGGAGAAGGGATTGTGGCATGGTCACCCCCCAACCCAGGAGTGATTTCTCACTTTCTGTCTGTCTCTGACAAGTTCACGTGCCCTACAGCAAAAATCTCTCTTAAAAAAAAATGCATTTTAGACCCATTTTCTCTCTCACCATTAAAAGTAGGACCAACTTTTAAATATTCTGAAATCTACACAATTTACTTATGTTGGGTTGTCAGAAAAGTCATGACACAGAAACACATAGAAAAATATGTCATGACTTTTCTGACAACCCAACAGAATGCATTAAAAGTTAAATAGCTCAATATTAATAAGGCCTGCTTAAATACATATTAATCTTCCAAGAGATGACAGACCACCTGAAAATACACTGAACTTTCAGAAGCTAGCTTTCTCTTTTAAAAATTATTTCTTTATTCATTTCATTCATTTAATTTGCCATAGAGACAGAGAGAGGAAAAATGAGAAAGCAAGCCACCAAGCCTAGGACTCGAGCTATAGTCGGCTATGTATGTGGGAGTCCAGCACCCCAACCATCACACCACCCACTGGCCCTCAGACGCTACCTTTCAATTTAACAACCCAGGCTTTATGTCACTGATAAGTATGTAAACGTTTTTTTTAGAACAAGCTGGAATTCTAAAATGTAACAGCAAGTGAACAAAATCTCAAGAACTTCAGGGCAAGTTGGTCTGTAAATATGAAAATATATATAAAATACTTGGAATTAATTCAAGACTTAGAAGAATACTTGAGTGGTAAAGTATTAGTCAAAAGAAAATTCCTTGGTAAGAGATTACATGCTAGGAGAGACTTTTTTCTACCTCCCACTCATACTTCATGTATATTATATAAAATTTACACTCAGATTTTACCTAAGCCCTCCTATCTTTCTCTCTTTGAAAAATTAAGACTCACACACATGAATGTTTATATAAATACCTGCAGGCAAGTCAAGACATTTTAAAATCCATGGTAGCTCACCATTATAAATCAAAGGGAAAAGCAACTAACATAAAATATTTCATCACATAACCAAGTTTAATTAAAAAATAATTCTTAGACAACTTCTAGATATTGTCTATATGTGGGTAGGACCTTGGTGCTTTCTAAGCCAAAGCTATTTTAAAGTTACTAGTCAAAACGTAGTTAAACAAAGAAAGATTTACTAAATAAAACTGACAGTTTTAGTTTCATTATTAAGAACACTAGATAGTGCATAGGAGATTGCAAATAAACATTTTATATAAAAACCTTAAATCAGGTTATTTAGTTATTAATCACTAAGCCACATGAAATAAGACATCAATGAAAGGCAGTAATATTTGGTAATGTCTTTTTTCTAATCCTCAATAAATTTCTGTTCTTACATAGAACTGTGAAAAACAAAACCTCTTAAAAGACAACTGTGTGTGCAAGTTGTGTATAACACACCTACACACAGTGAATCTGACCAAGGCACAAGTTCAAATGACTAATCAGAGGTCACATGGTTCTTTTAAACTTAGTATTTTCTTAAAGAATCCAGTTCATTCCTTTTACTATGATCCACTCTGGCCTTTCAAAGTATGTATGCCTCTTTTCTAGAAAGAAGCTATGGAAACAACAACCGCCAAAAAATGAGCCTTTTGCAACAAAACTATGAACTTTGTTGGGTCAAAGACCTTTATCTTCCAGGATATGGTATATTTAAATATGATCTGATTTTCCCCACACTATATGGTAAATAGGATTCTCCATTATAAATAAGATGTTTAAAAGTGTAATAACATCACTTTTCGGTGGTCTTTAGCTCTGCAACTTTTCTTAGTTTTTTGTAAACTTTTCAAAAAGGAATCTTCAAAAGCGTAAGATATAAAAGAACTACTGAGTTTTACCCCCATATGGCATCATCTACAATGTTATACTACATCTCCTCCTTACTGTGTCCGCAAAAGCATGGATTCAATCTTAAAAGGCACTAAGTGGCACATAAGGACTTAAAAACTGCATTTCCATTTTCACCTTTAGCCTTTCCCCCATAAAGTGCACAAAGCAGAGTAATAAGAAAATAGACACAGGCTTGGATCTACAACAGCAAGGAAAAGAAATGCTCCCAACAGAAACGGAAGTGTGTTTAGGAATTTGAAGCCACAGGAGAGGTCAGTTCATTTATTACAGTGCTGAATTTCAGCTCTTCTGGGATGGTCTCAGACCTGATGTTCCTCTGGACCTGGACCTATGGCCGTGGCAGAAACCCAGAAATCAGTAGGGGTTGGTTGGCTTCATATCAGATCTTCGCGTTAAAATGCTATTGAGCTTTTTTATCCACAGGTGGTCTCCCAACAACTGTATCTCTCACGGCTGTCTGAGTGGAATTACCAATATGAGAAGTAGCCTGCAAAAGTCCATTTATTCAACATATAAGTTAATGAGACACAACACAGCATCAACAGAGTAAGTCCTTGGCAATACACTTTCAAAAATCTGTCTCCATCATCAGTATGCTATAGAAAGTAGGGGAATAAAAATGTAGGGGTCAGGGGATTGTGGCAACAGCTAACTCTCAAGAGTCAGCTGGGCATTTCCTCTGGCTGGGGCATTTCCTTTGGCTGTACAAGCTACTAACCTAACTCATCTGTTCCTGTTATTCAGAAAAAGGATATTAATCAGTCTCAAAGATCTGTAAAACTGGAGATCATGTTCAATGTTCAAAGCCATTGGCTTTTTGGAAGACTTTAAATGAAGGAAATGACATCCATTTTATAATCCAGTAGGACTCAAAACAAAATTTTGTTATATTCATATTTTTTTTCAAAGTTCTTGATTTTCAGTGACGCAACTTAATTGGGGTAGAGGAGAGAGTTAGGGAAAACACACAGGAATGTCTGAATGATTATAAGCTTCCTGTGAAGAAGATAATAAGTTATCTGAGTTGGAATTTTTTTTTGTATTAAAGGGCCATTTTTAAGAATGGAAACAAAATATCAGAAGTAAATAATAATATCCTAAAGAAGAATAAAACGTAAAACCTATGAAAAATAAAAGCTAAGAGAAGTTTCTAGTGCCTTCTTTCCTTATGAAAGAAATTCCTCCAAAAGGAGCTGCTTTACAACAGAAGCATAAGTATCCGTTTTCAACCCCAACCTCCACAGCCACACCACTTACCTGCTCTAATACATACGCTGCACCAAGATCAATAGCTCCGCCCAGCTCACGATACTGACCAGAGTACCTGATGTACCCCCAGGTGAGGAGAGCTATTAACAGCAGCCCAACCATACAGTTGAACAGCTGGGCCACAATCTCCAGACCGACAAAGCCAGTAAGGCCGGAGGCTATGTACAAAGCCACGATGCCTGTGAAAAGCACTGCTGGGGTTCTAAAGGTGCTGAAGACATTCTTGCTACCATTGTGCTTGCAGAAGTTCTCATACAGTTCCTTGATCTCCTCCTCTAACTCCTGCTGGTAACGAAAGCTGAAATCCTTCCCGCCCATCTTCTTGGTTTTCTTAAAATGATCCAGAGCAAGTTGTTTGAATTCACAGTGTTTCTCCTCTAGAATGTCTGGAGACAGGTAAGGTTTCTCTCCCCCACAAACCTAAAAAGACAGAATATACTGAAGATTCCTTCAAAGACAAGAGCTAAATGAAACAAGTGAAAAGACACTGAAAAACAATGTTTTTTTTGTTTTTTGTTTTTGTTTTTTTTTTCCATTTTTTTTTGAGAGTTTTATTTTTCACTATAGGGCGCGTGCGCTCACCAGACAGACAGAGAGAGACATAGAGACAGAAAGCAAGAAATCACCCCCCAGGGGGGATGGTCACGCCGCAATCCCTTCTCCTCCATTCTCCTCCCAGGATCTTGGGCACGCACGCACACGTGCCTGGCGTGAGTTTTAAGCCACCGGGTCCAGGACGCGACCCGCGGTCGACTACGTGGGAGTCCAGCAACATAGCCATTACGCTAACTGCTGGTTCCCGATGTTTTTAAAACATTAGAAGTTAACCTTAAAAAGATGACCACGACCCGGCTGCGGCATAATGGTTAAAGGGAGCCAGATCCCACAGGGCCAACTACAGTTCAAATCCTGGTCCTGGTGGCTTGAAAAACACACTGGACATGTGGGCATGCACACCCTAAATCCCGTCAGGTTGGAGAAATGGAAGCGAAGGGGTCATGTCCACGACCATTGGGGGGTGCTATCTCCCTCTCTGTGTTTCTCTCTGGCAATTAAAAAAAATAAAAAATAAAATAAAATTTTTAAAAAAGGTATAAAAGAGATGACGAAGATTTAAAAAGTCTGAATTCACTTTTTCTGAAAAGCGCATTTAAATAACCATGACAGTATTAATCAGAAAGAGCAGTGACATAGCAAGAAAGCCATAGTTAGGGCCCAGCAGGTGGGATGGTGATTAAGTTGCTGGATTCCACACGGCTAACTCAGTGGTTCAAGTCCCAGACCTGGCACCTTGAAAATCATGCCAGGCATCTATGAGTGTGTGCCCAAAATCTCAAGGAGAATGGAGGAAAAGGGACTGGGTGTGGCCATCCCCCCGAGATATGACTTCTCACTTTGTCTCTCTGTCTCTCTGCAGCAAGCTCATATGCCCTATGACAAAAGCCTTCGGAAAAAAAGAAGAAAGAAAGTCTTAGTTAGAGATGGTTTGATTAGATAGAAGGCCCCAATTATTGGACAATATTAATACAGCCTTATTGCCTCAGCATAAGCTATATCAAGTAGGATCAAGTTTGGGTTTTTGTACCTGCCCAGGTTACAGGTACAGGTAGGTATGTCAGAAAAAAGGCATAAATTCCACATACCTCTTCCATGTTGTTATAGTAAATGTCCTTGGCAGAGGCTGCAGCTGCTAAGTTGTTGGCTTCAGCAGTGGCCTTTTAAGAAAGGAAAGTGTGAGCTATTAATTCTTCCTCCGTAACATTCTTCCACAAGTAACTGAGTAAAAAAATCTTCTCTCATTTTACTCTATTCCTTCCTTATTATCCTTCTGCTATTTTTCTAGGTTTTCATACTAGTTCAATTGATTGAAAAAAGAAAATAAACACTATCTGCCAGATTTCTACCCCCCCCCAAAAAAAAAACTTAAAAAAAAAATCAAGGAAATACATTTCCTTTGCTCAACTTTAAATGTCAGAAATAGATAAAGGGGCTGTCCTCAAGCTCAGCAGATAGAAACTATGCAGAGAAAGCCAAATCCCAGGGCCAGGAGGTGGCATGGTAGTTAAAAGCCCTGGACTCTCACACAGTCAACCATGGTTCAAGTCTTGGACCTGACGGCTTGCTTTCTCACTTTCCCTCTCTCGCTCTGTACCTCTCTGGTCAAATTAAAATAAATAAATAAAGTTAAATAAAATAAGTCTAAAAAAAAGGAAAGCCAAATCCCACATAGTCAGCCAGGGTTTGAATCCTAGCCCTGGTAGCTTGAAAAACACGCCAGATGCAGATCTGGATGGAATGTAGAAATGAAGTAAAAAGGATTGAGGTATGACCAAACTCCACTGGAGGGAGTGGAGTTTTTTTTTTTCCCTCTCTAACCTCCTTCCCATTCCTCCTCCTCTGTCTCTCTCACATACACAAGTGTGCATGTGTGTCCTCTGAAATGAAAAAAAAATTTTTTTAAGAAGTAGATCTGAGTCAAAAAAGGAGAAAAATTTATCTTCACAATGTCAATTCTAGTCTCTAGTTCCCTTTGTGAAAATATTTTGCTACTAAAGAAATCAGTATTTGGCAATAAATGCCTTTATGTTTGGCAAATCTCAGAAATTATTGTTTTTAACAAACAATATTCTCTAGTTGAAAATTTTAAAAATAAATAAAACCTGATTAGTGAATAATAAGTAACTGTGTCAGGACATGTTCTACTGCAGAAAACAAGAGATGACAGGAAGTCACTTGTCTAAACATAGTAGGTAAGTTATACCACGAAACACGGTTGAGAAGTCCAGACCCAGTGAGGAGAGGCCATTCTGTTTTCACTGTACTACCATAAACAGAGATTAAGAACATCAAAAGACTGCTGCACCTCTATCAAATGTGCTCAAAATGAACAGACCTCGGTGGAATGGGACAGGAGAGCAATCGTATTCTCCTCTTAAAGGATTCTGCTCATTATATATGGGTCAACTCAAGTCATTAAAAGGTATTATTTAGGATGGCAAAGAATTGCTTACCTGAAGCATAGATTTGGGGTGAGGCAGATCTTCTCCTTGATAAATTTTAATATATGCCTTCAAATATAAACATAGAAACAATTGTGGAAAATGTCATTCTCTCAAACTTTAAACATACTTTAATTTTTAGAAACAATGACCATACAACTAACTGCATTTTCCTAAAGACCTAGATCAACAACCAGGAATTAGCAAAAACACAACACACCTTTGAGTGCATGTTAGCATTTTTAGTGAACTAAAAATGTTCTCAAGCAGCACGAGCCTACGAAGGCTAGGATTCCCATCAGATTCCCCATGCACACTGGCCTCACCACTACCTGTGGGCAGAGTGACCATCCGCCTTGAGGTAGTCGTGTCACATCTAGGTGCCGTCTCCTCCTACTCACAGCAACTTCCTAACCACCTCCTGTCCACACCGTCTTCCTGAGGAACAATCTTCCTTTAGTCACAGTAAATACTCCTCTAAGAGAGTGCAAAGAACATCCATTTGGTTCTTAGACCAATACTGCCATCCAGTGGCCTACTCCTGGAAGGACACCTGAAAATGCCTCTTAACCATCACCCCCAAGAAACTTCTAAGTTTCAATATATTGAAATTCAAGATGTTTACAACCTATATCAATTTTACCAAAAATAAAGTATTTTAATCATTAAAACCCATATTGTATTTACCTTAAAATATTCCAACAGACCCCGACAGGTAACTTTTGAGCCATTGATCTCCTTTTCCATTAACTTAGATGGATTTAATACATATGGTATCAGTGCCTGTAACTGCTCTTTGAATTCACCAGCAATATCTGTTCACAGGACCATGAAGAAGGAAACAGTAAGCCAAACAGCCTTATCAACCGAGGTGAGCACAAAATGCAATCTTGACAGTCTATCTAATTATATAAACATGTTAGCTGAAAGTGGGAGGGGGTCCCCAAACTATATGGTTGGCACTTTCTGGCTATGATCAGGTTGCTGACAGATCTCTCCCTAATACACCTTTCTTTGTCTCCTTCTCTTCTGTATAGAAAATCCTCTCTAGTTCAGAACAGAATAAGCAGAATATCCTTACCCTGGTTTTTATTCTGTGACATTCAGTCTACTTACTAGCCTTACAAAAAAATCTTATTTTTTAAAAAATTATTATTCTTTGACCTCCTATAGTGCATGTGTACCCACCAGAGAAAAAGAGAAGGAAAGTAAGAAAGCCAGCCACAGGTCCAGGATTTAAAGCACAGTTGGCCATGTGGGGAGTCCAGCACCTTAACTATCATACCACCTGCTCACCCAAAAAATTTTACTTTTTTTTAAGAGAGAGATTTTTGCTACAGGGTATGTGCACTCGCCAAAGAGACAGAGAGATAGAAAGTGAGAAATCACATACACACATATCCACACACACACACACACACCCTTCCTGGGGAGGTAGCCATGCTACAATCCCTTCTCCATTCTCCTTTTGGGATTTTGGGCATGAACAGGCGCCCAGGCCTGAGTTTTAAGCCACTGGATCCAGGACTCAAACTGTGATCAACTATGTGGGAGTCCAGTAACGTAACCATTACACTATTGGTTGGTCCCAAGAAATTTTACTTTTTGAAGAATTTAATTAACAAGGTCTTCAAAAAACCAATCAACCCCAGTTATCTTAGGCTTTTAAAACACTCTCCTGCTACCTCTTAAAATCATTAGAAACCACTATTCACCCATTTGCTTTATTTTTGTTAATTTTTTAACATAAAAAGTAGCAAAAGCACTTGTACACCTCATTAATATTCATTTTTCTATTACCTCCTCAGAGATCCTCTAGATGAAAAGATCTAGTGATCAACCTTACCTAAGGAAAGGTTGCAGATTCTTTGCAGCTTTTAGAAAGTTCCCACAGAGGGTTTACGAGAGCTGCAGAGCTAGTCCAACTCTGAACACACAGGAGAATTAAAGTACAAAGATTTTGATTTATATGAGGGGACTCCAAAAAGTTTGTGGAAAAATGCTAAAGTATGATTTTATTTTGGTAAGAGAAAATTCTGAAATCCATCCATAGTTTGTTTAAGCATTTCCTGTGAACTTTTTGAAGACTCATTATACATGCCTTACATCTTCCTGGATTCCCCGCTATCAACTGAAAAGAAAGGAGGTAGGAGCCCATATCGAGGTAAGAACTCTTCAACACTCCATAAACTTAATCAGAATAAGTAAACTGAAACCATGAAAAGAGCTCAAGAAAAAAATGCGGGACAAGTTCTTCATAATCTTGCATATACATAATGCTGTTCTGTATAAATTCATATTTGTTTACATTAAAGAAACTCTGGAAACTACAAAATAGAGGAGACTTTTCTTTTTTGAGAGAGAGATTTTTGCTATAGGACATGTGCATTTGCCATTCTCCTCTCGGGATTTTGGGCACACATGCACCCATGCCTGGCATGAGTTTCAAGCAGCTGGGTCCAGGACTCAAACCACAGTCGACTACATGGGAGTCCAGTGACGTATCCATTACACCATCTGCTGGTCCCATGGAAGAGACTTTTTGCTGAATACGTTTTCATGCTTTTTGAGATTTTAAATATAAATGTATTATTTATTCAAAAACACTTTTTTTTTTACAGTTCAACTTTCATCACACTAAAAGAATGAGTATCTCAAAAGCACTTCAGCCAAGAAACTAGCACAATCCAGATACTACAGACTGCTATTTTACTAAGTTTTATAGGTCTATTCGTGGTTTTTATTTATTTTTTTTTGACGGCTATACCAAAGTAATATTTTTAAAATAAAAACAGACGAGAATTATCTCATAACAGAGACAATCTCAATATCTCACAGTGTCAAAGAAGTCTGTGCCCTACACATCCTATTTAACTTCTGGTTAACCAACTCGACAGTTACAGGAAGTCCCCCTTTGTCTGCAGGGTTAAGTTACAAGACCCCCGAGGATGCCATCTGAAACTACAGATATTACTGAGCCCTATATATCCTATGATTTTTCCTATGTGTGCATACCCATAATAAGGTTTTATAAATTAGGCAAAAAGAGATTACTAACAACAACTAATAATAAAATATAACTACTTTAACAATGCTAAAGTTATGTGAATGTGGTCTTTTTCTCCCAAAACATCTTACTGTACACCCTCCTACTTTTATGAGGAAGAAAGGACAGATAAGAATGGCATAAGATTTCATCACACTATTTGGTGGACAATTTAAAATTCATGAATTATCTACTTCTGGAATTTTTCATTTAGTATTTTCAGACCATGGTTGATTATACATAATTAAAACTGTAAAAAGCAAATCCACAGACAAGGAAGCCTACTTTAAGTCTCTCTGCTATAATACTAGAAAGAACAGTTTTCTCAATGCTGATGATAGCCACCCTATGCCCAATGAAAAGGGTCTCAGAAAGAAGCTTATCTCTGGGGCTAGCAGGTGGCATAGTGGTTAAAGGAGCTGAATTCCCACATGGCCAAAGCAGTTCTAGTCCTGGACCTGGCAGCTTGTTTTCTCGCCTTCCCTTCTTCTCTGTCTTTCTCGGGTCAAATTAAAAAATAATAATAACAACAAATGGATTTAATTACATAAATAAATGGTTATTTATTTTTTTTTAAAGAAAAGAAGCAGCAGCAGCAGCAGCTTATCTCCTAGCTAATTACTGCAAGGACCAGCAGCTCAGCATTCACTCCATCAAATGTAAGATCAGACCTGGCTGGTGCTCACCTCTGAATAAGAAGTCGATTTTTCAAAGATAAATAAAAACCAGGGTCAGCAAGTAGCACGGTGGTTAAGGGCACTGGACTCCCACATGGCCAACTGCAATCCAAGTCCCAGACCTGGTGACCTGTTTTCTCACTTTCCCTCTCTCTCTCTCTCTCTCTCTCTCTCTCTCTGGTCAAATTAAAAGTAATTAATGAGTTAAACAAAGTTAAATAAAATAATTATTAAAAAAATAAAACCAATAAGACAATTCACAAAGTACTTCAGACACATGCAAAAATAATTTCAGATTGTAGTTCTTCACATTAAGGTCCTTGGGACCAGCAGTTAGCGTAATGGCTATGTCGCTGGACTCCCATGTAGTGGACCGTGGTTCGTGTCCCGGACTCGGTGGCTTAAAACTCACACCGGGCGCGTGTGTGTGCATATTCAACATCCCAAGAGGAGAACGGAGGAGAAGAGACTGCGGCGTGGCCATCCCCCCTGGGGGGTGATTTCTCGCTTTCTGTCTCTCTGTCTCTCTCTGT